GTGCTGAAGCAGTATACATGTACAGAAGGCCTTTGCTGTTTTCCAATTTTGTGCCTCCTCGATCCTCGATCCTCCAGCTTGTGACCCAGAATTGATCTCCGCACTCCATCTTGAAGGATGTCTCAATTCCTATAATGCACCTGAAGGGTCGAGGATCGAGAATCAAGGAGGCTGACCTGAGGAGTTATAAGCGAGGATACACCAGTGTATCCTCTGCGAAAGTGTTTTCAGCTCCTGAAGTATAAAAGAGCCGTGACACACAGCTGTACTTTGTTTAGATAGACAGACATGAGTGTGTTTGCGTAAATATATGTAACTCAATCATATATATATATATATATATATGTCAATCTGTTTATATATTACATTTCATACAGACATTCCTAATGCTTCACACACTAAAATAAGGCTATATACTGTATGTATCGGGATGTAGCCTATATTAGTGATGCATGTATGGGCTCTCATGCCATCTGAATTTGCATGTGCACCACCCACCCAAATAAATTATTTTCTCTGATCTGGAGTCCCCCATCCACATGGATAGTTCATTGCCCCTCCACCAGTCCATGTAGAGTATGTTGCTTTTTAATAAATGAACATTTAAAGTTCTGCGAGTGCATGTGTGCGTCCGTTTGTGTGTGTTAAATAAAAAATGTATGGCATCCCAACATTATTGTAACATTATGCCACGCTGTCAATTGAATTTGAAGTAAATATGCTCAGACAGAGATCATAATTACAGCGGTAGGTTATAATAAAACAATGGACAGATGATGACATCTTTTTAAAATGAACGCTCCGAGGTGAAGGTGTCTCATTTTGTTAAATGCGTGTTGCCTTGACTCCTCTCTCCTCATGCTTCTGCCTCCACTCCTCTACTTGCATCTCCTGTGGGCGGGGCTAAGACGCGAGGAAAGGAACTGAGGAGAAGAATGGAGGAGGTACAAATTGGGAAATGGGAAAGGCATATGAAGATTTTTATACTGACTATGACCCTGAAATTGTGTGACCATAAAACATTTGTCCTGAATGATGACTTGTCTTTCCCATGATGCCAAGAGTCAGTTTATGAGAAACTATCTTCAATCTGCTTCTGTAAACATAGACAAGGCCTGAATGTAAAGCCAGAACCAAGGATGAGGACATGCACATTGTGTGTGTGTGTGTGTGTGTGTGTGTGTGTGTGTGTGTGTGTCAGGGGTTCAGCATCTTGCTGACTTGCTTGTATCTACCTCCTGCAACAGGGCTGTGTACTCCATATCTCCACAATAAACGTGACCAATGGATTTACCCTGTGGCTGGACACACACACACACACACACACACACACACACACAGAGTCTGACAAAAACAAAGCCCATCAGTCAATGATATGACCCAGATGAACAGCCAAGGTCCCTGGGCTCCTTTGAAGGACAGGGCTTCTATTACAGTGGACAAAGGAGCGCTGAAAGTGAGAGAAAGCCAGCAGTTTCATTTCTGGGCTGGTCTGACCTCAAATTGAGGGTTTATCAGTCTGGGAGTTCTAATCTTTTATAAGTCTCGCCTCTCAGATGTGCAGTTTTCTACTATTTGTATGGCTGCAAGGGGAAAGCTGCTGTTCCAGGCATTACTAAATCGTTTGCTGTTCTTAAAATGAATAATATGTGATTCTGCTCCTATGCTGCATGTTTTAAAAGCCTTGTATATATTTGTCTTGAAATACCAATAAATATAAATGAGTCAATATTCCAAATATAAGTCCTCACTTATTCACTTATAACAGAGAAATATCAAAAGCTCCATAAACATATATCAAACATTACGACTTTACTCAAACAACTGCAGAATGCATGCACACACACTTTCTAGTGAAACAGTTAGTTTCTCAGAGTTCTAGCAAGAAATGACAATTAACAAAAAACTGTCTTGCAAGGACATATGGACAGGAGAAGCTGAGGATCAAACCCTGTGAGATCCTGTGCTTTTTTTAACCATTAAGAGTTGGACATGTACGAGGAATCATCAAAGAGCCTTTAAGAACAGCTCTTCTCTCTCATCTGTGTGGCAGCTTTGTCACAGCGAGGACTCATTATGGTCTTTACTTTCCTTTTAGGTGTGAATAGAAGCAGAGTAAGGGCGGAAGGCATTTGTGTAAAAGAGCATCGGTGCTTGTTGAGCTTATTGCTGATTAGTGTTTTGCCAGAGCTGGCTGAGAGTTTCCAATAAACCGCTGTCTCTCCGTTTGAAGCTGTAAAAATTGGCTGCGGTTGTGAGGAAAAGCTGCAGACATGACTGGACACCATAATGACTGTTTTAAAAATGAGGGGGAAGAACTGTCCTCTGCGAAGCATTACTTTTAACTCGACGTGAAGTCTAGAATCTCCATTCATTTCATACAACAGGAGTGAATAAAGCCTTCATCTCTCTAAGCCGATTACAGAGTGGAGAAAGGGCAGAGTAACTCGTGGTTCTCCCCGAGGAACCAACAAATCTAATATGGTGTGAACAGAAGATGCAGCAGTTAAGCAGCAGCTATTTTCATCAGGTTAAAGTCAAAATTAAATGCATTAAGTTAATCTTTCACCCTTATAGTATCTGCAAGATCTTACATACATCTCTCATTTCTGCTGGCCTGCCTCCTTCTCTTCCTACCTGTCTCCTTGCATCTTTCCTTCACCTCACTACTCTCCTCTCTGGCTTCTCGCTTTTCCATCTGCCCTTCCTTCCCTCCACTCTCTCTCAGGGTGCAGGCCTGTCCGTAGAACGGACGCATCGGGGTTCTCACCCCTTTGTTATGTTGACCGGCCATAAACAAAACACACACAGGTTCACAAGCCTGTAGGCCATTCTAAACACAGGCAGAGACCTCTAAGCAAACACTCCCTTAATGATACAGAGAACCAGAAGGATGGACTGTACGACCGCTGAGCTCAGCTGCTGTCCTGCAGGTTTAACAGCAGGACTTGATTGTGAGGTTAAACTTGGTTTTTAAATAGTGATGCCTTGAAAACATGACATCTACGCACATAAAAATACACTTCAAGACACGTACAAGTGTTGTAGCAATTGAGTTCAAACTTGAAAGGCTACATGAGGTCAGCTGAACCAGATTGTTCAGCCGCAGGCAAAGCCTTCCACATGTTAGCGCGACATGTGAAGCATGACGGCCCACTAACAGTCCAGAGATCTACAGACACAGAGCAGATTGAAGCGATGGAGAGGCCGTTGTATTTTCCATTTATTTTACGGTTCTTTTTGCGGGAACTGACTTTCATAGTTCGTGATATAATACTTGTACCTGACATGTCACCAGCGCTGAGGCCATGCAGTGTGAGATGAGACTGACCACTGCAGGAAGTAATCCTTGGCTAATAGTGCTCTCTGCTGTCTCAATACAGAATAGCAACTAGAGAATAAAGGTGATTATACTGTTTAACAACTGTTTAAATTCAGATCCCAGAACAGTGATATTGTGTATCTCTTTCTTTTTCAAAGCTGGTTTGATTTTTGTTTCAGCTTTGATGTGTTTTTTAGACACTTTTATTGAGTAATTATTGCACTTTGTATCATGCTCTTACTTAAAAGACATATTTGGAACATACCTCTTTTATAGCGGCTAGGGTACTTTTTTGGACCAAATATGGTGTCACCCGTGTTCATTATTAGGCGCAATCCTGGCCTCCCTATCAGTTCAGGAACGTGACTGGTCTGAAACCCTAAGACCATTTACCGGACATACATATACATTTGCTGCTGCTATGTATTTGTATGTATATGATTGGTTGTCTTTTTTTACCTCTACTAACTCAAAATCCTGTCATACTGAATGTATAAATGTTCTTTGTAATATGTTGTGATGATGATGATTATTGACAATGCTGGCAGGTCTTGGGTTTAACTAAGTTGATCTAGGGATACATTTACAGCCACCACCTCCATATTAATATTCCATATCAGAAGTTGCCAAGTTCACATCTTACTGGTGTAAAAGCTTCCAATATATCATTTTTTGAAATTATAATCACGATATCAACTTGTGTGATAAGGGCATCACCAAAAGACGGTAATATTTCTTTTTTTTTTTTTTTTTTTTTTGAGTTAGTCAAAAGAGAGTATTGGTAGAAAACTTATGGAGACAGATTTGTCTCAGTATTATTTGTGTGAGGAGATCCACCAACTGTTGGTGTGTTGATGCGTAATCTGTAAATATAAAATAAATAAATTAATAAAATAAAAAATATTTGAAATGCATGAAAATATTTTGCAAATATAAAACATATCTGGAAATACACAATAAACTTCCAAAAAATAAAAATACATAGAATTTAGATTCACAAATAAAAACTGGATTCACACATATCTGTTTGAAGGTTGTTTTTCATTTAGTTATAAAATAATTTCATGTATTCACAGATTTTTTTTTTAAAATCTATTTGTAGAATTTGCACAACCATTTTATATTTGCCAAATAGTTTTTGAGTTAACAGATTTTATTTTTGTATTTGTGGAAGGTGTTTACACATATACACACAAATTGTAAGTCTTTTGACTCAAATAATATTAAGACAAATCTATTTCCATAAAAACTGCACTTTAAAATGTTACTATCCCTCTTTTTTATTGGTGCCATTTGTGTACAGTTCAATGTACAATTTCAATTTCAATTAAAAATGTTTGAAGTAATTTAAGTCAATTAATTTAGAAAATAATTTGTTGTATTTTAACGCTATACAGAACGCAGCACAAAGGCAGAACTGAGCACACTTTAATATGTGTATCACAAGTAAAGTCATTATCGGCATATTCAACAACATTATGGCATATTTTCCACACATCGCACAGCTCTGGCTTGAATTATTCATAATCTAATCAAACATGTACACAGTGAGAATACAAGATACGTTGACAGATGAAGAGGATGCATGCTCTGGGAACCAGAGAAGCAATTTGTAGTGAAGGATTTATAGTGAAGAAGTAAAGGAAGAGGAGGGGGAAGAGGAGTTTGTGGATCTCACCTGGTACAATCTCAAAAAGGTGTCTTCCTGGTTCGTCTGGATTAGCCGTGAGCTCATTGACCTGGCAGCCCTGCAGAGGTATACAGCCCTGAAACAGAGAGAGAGAGAGAGAGAGAGAGACATTCAGATGTCAGGCTTTTACTCTTCTTTGTTTTTAGCCTCTTTCCCTATATCAGGGCAGTCCTTTTGTCCTGTCTCTTCTTTCTGTTCTTTTTTCACTTTATCATTCAGTTCTTCTTCTTTATCTTTTCTATTGAAATGGCAATCTGAAAGAGTCCTGTTTCCATGTTTGATTTTACATGGTTTGTATTGACTTAAACCGAAAAGGATTTGTTCATTTACAGCTGCTTGATTTCATTTTCTCCCAGTTTATAGGTCACTAAGATTTCTTACCATCTGCTGAGCACATATGTTCAACATCTGTATCTGTAACAAATTTTATGAGCGGATCTGTGACTGAAAAGGTCAGAAAAATCATGATAAGATATTTTTTAGATGTTTAGCCCTGACTAAGTGTCCTTCCTGCATGCCTTATGGCCTTTCTCCTTCCCTCCCCCTTCCTTCTTTCAGTCCTTCCCTCCCTCCTTCTTTCTTTCCTATCGCTACACTCTTAACCCCTCTAAAATTTTAAGCAGCTACTACTGTGATTGAACAGGGACCCACACAGATTATCAGAATACATTATCCAGATCAATACCGATTTAGCCCGGAGAACTCGGGCCAAGTGAGCTGTGAAGAGATGCCAGCGTCTGTGGGTCGCCCTCGTTAATCTGCACGCACGCTGGCATCCTCCATCAAAAGGGGGAGAGGAGTCTTCCAGAGCGCCTCAACCAGAGGGCCGGGCTGTCGCCAACATTAGTCGCCATGGCAACAAATGGAAGGGGTGGGAGCTGTGGATGGATGGAGCACAGGGGCAGAGCAGGAACCGGGGGGGAGGGAGCGCTCCCAAGGGTGCTATGTGCTCGGAATAACATGAGTAGCTGGCCGGGGATGAATGAATAAGGAGGCAACATGTCGCCCGAGAACACAAATCACACAGTCAAGCAGTGTGAGGTGGAAATGTAGGATAGATAGCAGAGTTTGTCCTTTCTAAGAAGGGCTCAGGTTCACAGCTGTGCCTGTGTGCATGAGCCTTTAACCAGATGTGGACACACCCAGTTTAACCTGGTTTGCACATTAATGCCGATCATCATCCAGGACCAGAACTCCAGCCCAGACCCTCTTACACCCCAGTACCAAAGCTCACAAATATTACACATTGCTATTGGCATGTGTGTAGGCCTTAAACTGAGGCACATAACCTCCTCCCTTTAACACCTAGCCAAGCCTTTCAACAGCTGTATCCTCACATATAAACCTGTGCTGATGATCAGTGGTGTGGTTGGTAGTTGATGAGGTGGGTTACTGAGGAGGAAGTGGGTGTACTCTCCTATATGTTCAAATGGCTTTTGGCTGATAGGTGGGTTTGGCTACTGTAAATGGCCAGAGAAAGGGGTGGATATACCACATATTCCTGTGTATACCCTCCACTACATCACTGCCGTTACTGGATCCCAGTCAAAGCAGCAGCAGTAAACCATCGACCAAACCTGACCACACCAGACTCAATGTTCAGAAGCATCATATGAGACAGCTAACTGCAATGCTCATACTTTTTAATCAAATCCCCTTATCTCCTTAAGGCTGTCCATTGACCACAGAACTACATTTTACATTTTAGTCAATATCCCAAGTTTCTTGAAATACGGTGCAGTACATTGGCTCTGAATTCTATCGGAATTTTTCTTAAATCAAAATTCTAAATGTAAGAGACAGAGTTGAAAATGTTACCCTTGGATTCGGTATGCTTTTTAGATCCATTTTGCTATACAGGAAGTGACGTGTTTCTTGTTTCTAGCTTCTTTAGTATTCATAAAGAAAGAACTGGTTAAAGGGATAGTTCAGATTTTGTGAAATGGGGCTGTATGAGGTATTTATAGTCAGTGTATTACCTACAGTAGATGTCAGTCAGCACGCCTTCAGTTTGCAGATTAGGCAGGGGTACTACCATCGAGGCTAAGCTATGTATGTGGATGGGGACAATAGTAAAGCTTATTTTAGCCACCTAAAAAGAACTATCACTTTAAGTGCAAGCTATGTTGAGAATATTTTTACCAGTTAACAATTACAGATGGGTAACTGAAACGGTTATCTGTACCCACCTAAAAGCCACCTGACTCCTTTGATAAAAACAGTAATTTTACCTTACAGAACATGGGAGTTGCTGGTCCACTGCTGCCTATTTGTTTGTGTTTTAAAGTGTTAGTTAGAACCCACCAAATTCACAAGATAACACAAACTAACCAGAATGAGTGTGGTGGCTTTGCAGAGAAAGTAAATGGATATACAAGCTTCAGGATACTCAAACTGATCCTGATTTTATTCAGGTGGGCCTTTTGTTTGTTGGCTAAAATACAGTATTTTACAGCTTCTGCCCCTGTCCACAGTAGGACAAATCTTATCTTCCATGGCTGCACTCTACTACATAGCCCCACTTCAATAAATCCCTTTAACATGAGCAGTTAGCCACCATTGCTGAACAAGAACAGTGAACCACCAAAATAAAACCACATCAACAGATAATTGAAGGGAGAAGATGTCAAAGGCCTGCCCATGCTGTTTGATTGACAGGTGGTCTTTGTGTCTTAACATCTTTTTACCAGCATTTAGGCCCCGTATCCACCGAAGTGTTGTTTTCCCAGCTAAAAATGTCACATGCTCCTCGGGAAACACCCAGCTGGGAGTGTTTGAGAGCTCTTTGGAGGACCATGTTTTCTCAGCTGAGACGTTTTGGTTGCGTCTGGTTGCTATGATATGGAATATCTGCAGAAGTAAACATGTGGGCATGAGGTAGAGTAGTTGCTTTGGCTGAGAGGAAGGCTGAAACAAGGACGACCTCGGTCTGTATAGGTTCATGAGAGGAAACATATATACTTAAGCAATATCATATCAGAGGTCGTGCCTTGTACTGTATATTAGCTCGGCTGTGGTTTGGTCATAGACTCGAGGCAGCAGGCGGAGTGCGGAAGATAATTGCAGCCTTGCTGATATTCAGTACAACAGCACAACCTTGAATGTGATATTGCTTTTATACAATAGTTCTATAAGCGCCATTTATCAACAATAAAAAGTGGCAACAGGTCAGGCAACAAAAATTGTTCGGCACCTGGGCCAGGACTGGACTGTTGCCAAGCAAGACACAAAACACTCCTGCACACTAGCTTGCTACTTGAGCTAAGTCTACACACTGGCACAGACCAGCTACTTTGTATCATGTATTCTTCATCTGTGTGTTTCCATTTATTTTGCAACCGGTGAAATAAGTACGTTGACAGCCGCTTTGGTGGCATACGTGTGATGCTGACGAATTAACAGCTTAATCAGTACGTTGCATCGTCTTCTGGTGTCATATTAGGATACCTGGAGATTTACAGTGAAGTATTCCAGCTTATCTCAGTCCCCTTGTCATTATCTGACCATTCATTATTTAACTCAGATGTTATTTGTGGTAATATGTTATATTTTGCAGTGCAAAGTTTGTTACGACTACCCTTGATGTCGGCTAATATACGATTAACACCTGAAAAGCGGAGTGATACATGGATAGTCCCAGTGCTGTTATACTGTATATCAGTACTCATGGCATGCCTCCTGTCCAATCAAAATTCTCGGTTGGAACCAACTGTTGTATAAAGTATATTAACAGATTTCTCCTTTGTTGTTGTTGTTCAGCACTTGTACATGTAAGATGTGACAATTTGTCGTAGTAGTCACATTTCCCATGTGACTATTTTTCAACTCTCAGTGCTCAGAAAAAAAACCCTCAACTGGCATTTGTAGCCCAGCATAAACGTGGCACTCCCATTGCAAAGCACTGAAAAAATAAGCTGGTGGAAGATGCTAGCATAGCAACATGTCTCTCCGTTTAAAGAATTACAACCTATCCTGTGTTAAATGAATTGCAGCTGATGTATTCAGAGCACTAATGATCCCCTCCTCTGCCACCCACCACCACCACCACCACCACCTCCCATGTGTTTGTCTGTTGTTCGAAACAGAAATCGATTATCCGATAAGTGAGGTCCATTTGTTCTGCAGTGGATTTATCCCCACATGATGAAAAGGAGAAGAAAACCTGCATAGAGGCTGCATCTGTATTGCCTTCCCCTTGACCAATTATCACATCTTTTCATCTCAGTAGGGGGGGTGGTTTTGTTCTGTTTCTGTGATTTGCCTACATACCCCCTCCTTACCCATCAACCCCCCCCCCCACCACCACCACCACCACTCTCTGCCTCAAATTTCCTATCGATTAGAAGATGAGAGGGAGAAGAAAGAAAAAAAAGGCCAGAGTGACACTTTCTCACACATCCTGCTCTCTGAGGGGGAGGATCTGCGTGTGTGTGTGTGTGTGTGTGTGTGTGCATAGATGTGCATTCATCTGAGTGTATATATGTGTGTGCATTCAACCACGTGTATGACTTGAATCCACTGGGAGTTGCAAATCAATATAGGCTGGATGAGTATTGGCAAGCTCTTATTAAAGACAGTCTGTCAAAGCCTTCAGTCAGTTGTTCTCCACAGAATGGGGACTGCGCAGAGGAGAACACGTCATTCAGTGTGTGTATAGTGTATGTGTGTGTGTGTGCGCGTGCTGATGACAGTGATGGCAGACGGCTGCTGCCTACATTAAATAAACAGCAGTCATGCAGAGTGAAGACGGAAGAGATCAATAAAAGTGTCAGGATTTCAGCCAGGAATGTAAAGAGATGATTATTATGCTCTAAAGAGTGTGTGTGTGGATGTGTGTGTGTGTGTGTGTGTGTGTGTGTGTGTGTCACAGACCTGCCCCTTCTGTCTTTTGTTGTTAGATTACATCACCGCCTCATGTTCCGACTTTGTAAGCCTGTCAGCGAGGTTGACTGTCCATCCTTACATTGTTTGCGTGTGTGTGTGTGTGTGTGTGTGTGTGTGTGTGTGTGAGAGAGGTCAGACCAGGCCAGGCTACCGTTTTGCTTGTCTTCAGTCAGAATCATAATGGGAAAATGTGAGTCAGCCACAAAAGACGTCCCTCACCAAAGAAGCGCTGGGATCCATTAGGGATTTTACTGTGTAAATATTTTTATGATGGTGTTCTAATGGAGGAGGAAACCGGGCGTCCCACAATGCTCCCCTGTTTTGTACTAATGCACTTTGATGTCCTATGAGTGTGGTGAGTCATCATTGCCACTGTGTGTTTCCATTGTTCTCACAAATAAAGCACATACTGTAGCATTGTTGTAGAGTTTACTTAACCTCCTGAGAGCTCTGGTTTGGTATGCATATTTAATTCCTTCTAGCTATTTGGGATTAGTAGGATCTGATGAGTATAAAAAGTAAGCATTGTCTCTAAACAGTAAGTAGTTTTATTGTTTTTTGTAAATGATGTCCTCACACTGGGACAATGGGTTTATTTTTAATAGTCATAAGTGTGTAATAAAGTATAAAACAGTTTATTTCATTTCCTGAACACTGTTGTGCAAAACCAAAATTACAAACTATGGAACATGTGTTGAGTGTTTTACAGCTCTGTGGGTTTGAGGTCAGTGTTCAAGTCTGAAACTGTTCATTTCAATGCCTGAAGACAGCTGTGCAAAGACAAATAATGCAACATACCTAAAAGCCATCATTTGTTTGTTTTGTAGTTCTGTATAAACTGTATCGAAGTCCTTCAAACACCCCCCCTCCCCATAAAAGAATATATTTATATGTAACCCCTTTGTAATCACCACATTTGATTTAGTAACTGTAAATTAATTACACATTTTTTTCTCAGTAAGTGTAACAGATTACTCCATTACATTATAACCAGTTACTCCCCAACACTGACTAAACATAAGTAAATGAGTTTCAACCATAACATTTTATCAAGTCGTGTTCCTTGTCCACTTTTATTTTGTATTGTAGAATGACTTGGCAAAGATGGCCAATTATATACTTTTTTTTTTATATACTTATATTAATCCCAGAGGGGAAATTCAATTTTTTCACTCTGTTTGTCAATTACACACAGGTCCAAACACACACATGCACAAACAGGACCTATACATGCACTAAGTAGAGAGATGTCAGCCCATGACAGGCGCTCAGAGCGGCTGGGGGGTTCGGTGCCTTGCTCAAGGGCACCTCAGCAGTGCCCAGGAGGTGAACTGGCACCTCTCCAGCTACCAGTCCATGCTCCATATTTTGGTCCAGACGGGGACTTGAACTGGCGACCCTCCGGTTCCCAACCCAGGTCCCTATGGACTGAGCTACTGCTGCCCATTTTCACAAGTGTATTGTGCATGTGACTAGTGGATATGGCTTTTGCTCCCACTACATGGCACATAAGTGTCCACGAAAAATAACAACAGATTCAAGTTAAGCAGAATGAAGTATAAGGTGAATAAAGCCCAGTTTGATGTCTGACTGGCACCTTGCCAGAGAATTTGCACTACCCACTGCTCAACTCGATGAACCAACATTCATCCTAGAACTCACATAACAGGAGTGGATGGAAACGCACTCTAATTTGCGCTGTCACTTTCGTTTTCATGTTTTTTCATACTTCCAGCTGCCCACAAACGTCATTTGGTAACATTTGGTTGACTTTAGTTTGTAACATCGGGTGACCAAAAATCTATGTCAGGGTAACATCTAATGCCAACATCAATTTGACGTAGACCACTTATGACAGATGACATTTTGCTGGTTTTAAGATGTGTTGTTAAGTGTCCAAAATCCAACTTCTCCCAAACATCGAATGCCAACCCCATCTTGACAAAGAATAATGTTATTTAGTCGTGTGGCATGGGGAACAAAACCCAATGTCTGCAAACAACGTCCACACAATGTGACATTCTAACATCATTAGACAGTGTTCATACAACATTACACAGCTAAACATCAAGCCAGCCATACAAAGGTCAGTATAACAGACACATCTGCTTCATATTTCAGAGCAATGAACGGCAAATGAACTTGTTACAGTTTCTGTTGCTGAACTTAAACTACCGTTTTTTGTTCATTTTTAAGTGTTCTTCACAGATTTAGTTTTGCTCTTCTATCACTGTTGGACAGTGGAAGAAGAAATGAATGGGGCACACAACCACAGATTTTTTATCGGAAGCATTTTTTTTCCTGTCCAGGCCTCGTCAAAGCTTATGTCTCCAACAATGCAACTTGACTGCCAACAGTTTGGTCAGAGATTTTGTCGTGATATAATAGAAGTAGCTAATGTAGCCTTGAGTCGCTAACCTTAAAGAAAGGCACGTGGAAGGGCGGAGAGGTGTGCTCTCTCTGCTGTAAGGCTGTCTACGAAGGCGCGTAGAAGGGCAGAGAGTTGCCCACCTTAGGCTTTCTGCATACGCCTGGAAAAGGCAGAGGTCCCAGTACAGAGCCATACCCCCAAATACAACACTGCAAATGGAAATTAAGATTTCTTGACTAAAGTGGTCCTGACTGAAATGTAATCATGGACTGCATCTCCCGCAGGACAGAAAGATAGTTTGGAGAACATAATTACCCTTCATATTGAAGATTAATCAGATAAAATTATTACTGAATTTCCACTTCCTGCTCCTGTCTTTTGCAGCCTTACATTAACATGAACACCGTCCAACTCGTTATCCTGTAAAATTCCATCAGTCCTCCAGAGAGTGGAAAACGGCACCAGGGGGGCAAAGATAAAACACTTCCATTTAATTGTGTAAATATAATCACACAAGCCAAATAACAGTGTATTCCCGTGTGTGCAGACATGGCCGCAGTGGTACCTGTGGTTTGGTTTCTTCCTCGTCTTTGTAGAAGAAGAGCTGGTCTGAGCGCAGCACGAACCAGCGGAGCTGCCAGTTCTTCATGATGCTGCGCTGCTTCTTCAGCCAGCCAGCTTTCAGCGCCCCTTCCTGCAGGCTGGGGGAGGCCGGCCGGCACGAGCCCCGCGACACCTCACCCATCACCATGCTCTTGGACCTGGCTGCAAACACACATACACACAGAAAGCATTTTCATTCAGTGTATACACACGCAGGCAGAAAGCGAGGGGTTAGGAGGGTCAAAGGGGGATTGATTGGGTCGTTCTGCTGGCAGTATTTTTTTTCCATTTCTTTGGCTCGTGTCTTTTCATTTTCCCCCTAATAGAGGCTTGTGTTATCCCTTATTGTGTATGCTGTATGCACACACATGCTCTGCCAGGCTCTTCAGCTATAAACACGCACAACCTTCTGCCCCCAGCTGAGACGCCTTTAGATGAAGGGGGAATGGGTCTGAAGAGACACAGCAGGCACAAATAATAACAGAATGCAGATAACATAGAGACTCCGGCGAGGGAATACACACACACACGCACACACACACACACACACACACACACACACACACACACATAGACATAGCCTCAGGTGACAGGGATCCCCCCTTCCATTTCATAGGTCCTTGGGAGAGACTTATTGTGAGTTGCTGCACCCCAATAGAATAGCAGCGGCTTTTGAGCTGAGATAATAGGACCACATGGGACTGAATGACTGGCTGGCTGACTGAATCATTCTCAGCAAGCGCGTGTAACCTGAGCTCAGTCAAGGACAGGTTTAAAAGGGAAAGGATGGCAGCTTTATTGCTGTGTCTTAACGTGACAGCAGGTTTGTCCTCAGTGGGCTGCTCACGTTGTCCTTGTGTGACATCAGCTGCAGAAAAAATAGATTTAAGAGCGTGTCGTGTGTCATTTTTGACAATAGTTAATAATAATACAACATCAGCTGACACTTGAGCGTGACTTGTGTAAACCTAAAGACCATTGCCAAATATACTGTGTGTTTCAGTATTGTATTTTTCATTATGATCCACCAGATAGAACATGTGATTAAAAAGGGAAGCATCAATGTAGAGCATGTGTCATGAGTTGAGGCTAAAATGTTACTTGACAAACTGAGCTAAGATTTCGTGGTCTTATACAGATGAGAAGAGGCCACAGAGCTAAGGCTAGAGCTATATTCTGGTCAGGCAAACAAGGCTTTGCTGATGATAATGTATAATTTATAGAAATCAATTGTGCAGACATCCTCCCTGCTGCTGTGCGTTTTGTGACACACACACACACACACACACACACACAGAAGGGGACGGATGAATGGGGAGGGGGAAGAAAATCAATGTTTATTCTTTTTTATTGTCTCATCTCTCTCCAGCATATACAGCCTAAAGGACGGGGCTCACGTCACGTCACAACCCTTCCTGGCAACTGGTAGAGCCTGTTGATCCTCAAAGATTTGTTGAATGATGGATGGACTGATTATTTCCTGAAAAGGTGTAGATTTTTTGTTGGATTTTCATATATGACACCTTTATTTTCGTGTGAATGGCCTGAGAAACATGAAAAATTTTCATTTGTGAAACTAATATATCAGTATGTCAGGTGAAAATTGTCACCTGGTTCTCTATGAAATAAACAATGATAAAAAGAAAAAATATATACTCAAAATGTGTTAGTCACAGCTGTATTTTATACCTTGGTCCCTACAGTGCTGGTTAGAATTCTGTTAACTCCTCACATCAGATAAAAAACATTATCAGTTAGCATCCGACATCAATATGACGTCAGACAGATGTCGGACTCTTAACATCTGACGCGTTAAATTTTGGTTGGAATGAAAATTGGTTTAACGAGATTTAAAATGTCTAACAACATCGGAATTTCACGTTGTGTGGACATCAACATTGTGACATTTTGCAGATGTTGGGTTTCGGTCTTCATACCTTATGACTAAATGTCGTTATTGTAGGTCAAGATGAGGTTGGCATGAGACGTTTGGAAGACATTCGATTGTGTTTACTAAACAGCACAACTTAAAAGCAACAAAATGTCATCTGTAGTACGTGTTGACAACCTAAATTCAACCAAATATCAGCATCTAATGATGTTGGTGGCCAGCTGGGTACAGTGGCAGCTTTATTTAAACAGAGAGTGTAGCTAGTTCACCAATTTGTTAGCCAATCTGCTGTGGCTCAGAAGGTAGAAGGGGTTGTCCACTAATCAAAAGATCAGCGCTTTGATTCCTGGCTCCTCCAGTCTGCATGTCAAAGTACCCTTGAGAAAGATACTGAACCCCAAACTGCTTCCGCTGGCTGTTCCATTGGTGTGTGATTGTGTTAAAAACTGGGTAGTAGATGGCACCTTGTACTGTAGCCTCGGCCACCAGTGTATGAATGTGTTTGTGAATGGGTGAATGTGACTTGCAGTGTAAAAAGTACTTAGAGTGGTTGCTATACAAGTGCAGGTCCAACAGCTAATTATGTAGTTTGCTGGATATATTACCCTAAAGTAATAGTACATGTTTTTGGGGTAACTTTGAGTCCAGTATTTGAACTGAACTGAGGGGAACTCCAAAGGTGGGTAAAAAATCCATGGTGGTTCACTATTATGACCAACACCTTTTAACATTACACATAGTCATTTAATACATTCATTCATTCATTCATTCATCTTCTAACCGCTTCATCCTCTTGAGGGTCGCGGGGGGGCTGGAGCCTATCCCAGCTAACATCGGGCGAGAGGCAGGGTACGCCAGACTATCACAGGGCTGACACATAGAGACAAACAACCATTCACGCTCACATTCACACCTACGGACAATTTAGAGTTATCAATTAACCTAGTCCCCAATCTGCATGTCTTTGGACTGTGGGAGGAAGCCGGAGTGCCCGGAGAGAACCCACGCTGACACGGGGAGAACATGCAAACTCCGCACAGAAGGGCTCCCACACCCGGGATCGAACCGGCAACAGCGACAGTGCTAACCACCACACCACCGTGCCGCCCCCATTTAATACATTGTCGATATAAAAATATAGATTAATGCAGATTTAAAGTGTCACCTTGAATTTCCACAGATAAAGTAGACTAGTATGTTTTTTATCAGATTCCCTGGGTTATAATGTGATTTTGTGTATTATCAGGTCTATATTGCTTTAATGAATGGTTGTTCATTGTGGTTCCATGGAAACATTACCTTTTCATTTCGTATTTCTCCATAATTTACTGTAGATATCCTGCACAGTGGTTTAATCCAGGTTTCCATTGTTTGTTTACCTAATAGATTTAACTGTCTTTTAGTCTTTCCCCTACATCCTGTATCCATGTTTTAACAGCCAGAATTTCTTCCCTTTCATGTTGTTGCCCTCTCCTGCTTTCTCCTACACCTTGGCTTTCCTCATTTATCCATCTTGTGTTAATTCCCGTGTTTTCCAGCTCAGTATTTTCTCCCACCCTGTCCCGTCTCCCTCCATTTCTCTTACTTTGACTCGCTCTGATTCTTTTCTCCCTCTTTACGTTCAGCACTGCTGGTCCTGTTGAATCAAAGCTCTGTTATTACTGGGAGCGCTCAGGGCACATGCAACACACAGACACACATAGACACACACAAAGGAGGATCCTTGTTCTCATCACCGGCACCTCATTTGAGTCGTTTTTATGGAATAAATTAGTCCTTGGATTAGAAGCACATTTCCATTAGCTATTTTTAAAATATAATCATTTCCATTAATTCTGAGAACAATGTTAATAATTTATGCATAGCAAAGCAGTCTTAATTACTTTTTGCCAATGGGTAATGCTTTATAATGGTTTTATTTCTGCCTGTTAGCCTAAAATACTGCATGTTTGAATAAAAAACACTAACAAAGCTCTACGATTTTGAAGCCACTGTTGTTTTTTTTTCAATGTACCGACCATATTAGCTATAATCACGTGCATTACTAATACATTAATTGTACATGTAATATCTAACTATAACATGGCTTTGCTAGTGATTGGACTCCAGTTTCAATGAACTGCACAATTCTTGGTTTTCCAAGGATTTCCCAGGTCCTGCATCTTTAATGGTCCAGTGTGTAAGATTTAGGGTGATTTATTGGCATCTTTTGGTGAGGACTGTAGACTGCAACCACCCTAAACTTCTCCTGGTTAGAATTCCTTCAGTGTTATTTGTTCAGGAGGTTTTTAAAAGGAGCCAAGTTATCCGCAGAGGTCTCTTCCTCTCCAAAACAAATGGACCAGGTAATTAAAAGTGGTCAAAACACTGAATAAAGCAGCGTCACGTTACAAATCAGTGTTCCTCCTACGCTGTTTGCCCAGCACCTGCAATATGTGCTCACCTTTTTTCTCGGGTAACTTAAGATCCAGACATTCAGGAGCTTCTGGCAGGCGCCATATTATCCACAGAGGTCTCTTCCTCTCCAAAACAAATGGACCCCGTTATTTAAATTGGTAAAAACACTCAATAAAGCTGTTTCATGTTTAAAAAAATTAATGTTTTCTCCAAGCTTTCATTGCCAATAGGCTGCTAACTACAATGGCCGATGCAAAAACACAAATGGCCCTATCTAGAGTCTTTGTTTGGTTTGTCTATTGTTGGCTACTGTACAAACATGGCAATGCAACATGGTGATCACCGTAGATGAGGACCCGCTCCCTATGTAGATATAAATGGTTCATTCTAAGATAACAAAAACACAACAGTTCTTATTTTCAGGTGATTATACACTAAAGAAAACATACTTATTATATTCCCTTTCCGCCAACATGTCCTCCTAAATCCTACACACTGGACCTTTAAGATAGCCTTTTTATGAATTTAGAATTTAAACATTGTACATCTTCATCCCACTGCTGTGTAAATATCAAGGACGCACAGGGTCTCACAGCAGTGTGAACCCAAGCTCAGCAACCTGGGTGTCCTTACTCTTTCCATCATATTGCCAGCTAAAAATGGCACTCACCTTCCCCGTCCTCCTTGACCCCTCTGTTTTTCCTCACCACATCACATCCCTCATGTCTTTCCATCAGTCCTCACCCTGCCAGTGTTAGCATAAAAGAGCACCACTGTTTAACACATCAGCTGTCTGGATCATGGACTGAGTGGAACATACACTGGCCGATGATTCACGCCTGAGTCACAACAACTGATTTTTGAGTGTGTGTGT